TTGGTGTCAAATGTTATAGAAAGACAATATGCTATTCTGCTTATAAGATCAATAAACTTAATTGGAAAATAAATATGAACCTGAAGATAAAGTTTCATTTTCTGGGAAAAAAGATGTATTTTTATCATTTAAAAATCAAAGCATCATGTGGGAATTCAGGTAAAATAATCAGAAATTGGATATTCAAAATATAGACATATTTTTTCTCATAAAAATAACTGATTCAGTTCATTTATGTATGCAGTTTTGTAGTTAAAATGAATTGCAATTTAAAGAATAATGTAGTGATCATGGCAATTAAATAACTTCTCAGCAGCCAGCCCTCTAGTAAGTGCAAGTATGAGTATAACACTATGAAAATATTTAGCTATGCAAAATTGTTTTGTTACATGCAGGTAGGTTTTATATGTTGCTCTCAGGATATTTATGTGTATATTTAACCAGTTCTTTTATTAAATTTGAATTATTTAATCAAATAATATTCACATTTCTAGCCATAGTAAGCTTAGAAATTGTTCTGATTATCAACTAGAAACTTGGTACTGTTCTTGTTTTACACTTACTGAGCAAATTAAGCGGAAGTCTAATTGACATTGTCTTCCCTGAGTTTACAAAGATAGCACGCATTCTTAAAGCACATGGAAAGTCAATTCAATATGTAACTGTAGTCTTCTTGGAAAAGAAAAGTATCGCCATGGTAATGACATAAAAAGTAAAATAAGAGCAATAAATAAATCAATGTTTAGACATAACTGTCATCATTTGTTAAATATCAGCCTGTTTATGTTGTTTATCTCTACTTATCCCAGAATGTTTTGTCTACTACTCCAGAACAACGTGTTTTATTAGGTAAGGCAAAAGATTATAAACTAAGTGAGGAAGTGTAATTTCTAGCATGAAAATAATGAAGATAGCAGCCTTATTTTGTGTATTATTGCATCACGAAAATGAAGATGGAGGAACTAATTTCATGGTTAGAAAGGCAGTGCATTGAGTGAAACATTATCCCTTATCATTTGCATCTGAGTTGGGTGGATTTTTATCTTAGGAGGAGGAAGTTCTGACAGATGAGGGAGAAAGTAGTGAGGTAGTATGGGTTCTGAGGTGAAGGGTAACAAAACCATGTAAAGCTGGAGATGAAACACGCCTATAGGGTGCTTTGATGAACTTCTTGATTCAAGTAGAGTGTTGTGTCCCATCCAGATTACCTTGTCATAAAACTCCTTTTGAAAAGTTATGCTTTCCTTTTACTTTACATGACCTATATGTTAGGTCCTTGAATACACTGTCATTAAACTTATTTTGTACAAGTATCCAGTTGTGTAAAGATGTTAGTAGAATATAATGCAAGGGATTAAGTCACTATGCCAGTAGCAATATTCATATCCATATGTAAATTTAATTCCTAAAGCCAGTACTTATGTATGCTGGCCATATGTCTGAAAAATGCTATAGCGTTTTCAACATCAGATTACGTTACTTTAAATTTAAGAATCATATTTAACCAAATTATTCATGAAATCATTAAATACACAAAATATATTTCAGAGATTCCACATTTATTGAGTTCAAAAAAGAAAGTCACATGAATTAGAAACTATTAGCACTAAAAGCAGAAGTCAAAGCATTATAAAAATGGCCACAAATTTTTATCACATATTCCATTGCAGTGTGATGTTTCAAACCCTCCCATCAAGAAATATCATCTGTAGAGCAACAGCACATAAGGCTTATGAGAGAGCAATTTACTGGCAATGCTAGACATCATGCTGCATTGAAAGTCACTGGAGGTCCATTCCAGAGAGGGCGGGGGGCCTCCATACATCATTAATATGCCAGGAAGAGCTAAAGAATAAACCTTAAAGTGTAGCAGGCTTTTAACTTTGGCACTCCTGATATTGTGGGCCAAGTAATTCCTCGGGCAGAGCTGTCCTGTGTGCTTTGCTGGCATTCCTGGTCTTTATTG